GAGCAGAGAGAGACGTGAGCAAGAGAGACGTGAGCAGAGAGAGAGGCGTGAGCAGAAGAGAGAGAGAGAGATGTGAGGCAGAGAGAGACGTGAGCAGAGAGAGAACCGAGCCGCGAGTGGAGAGAGAGAGCAGAGAAGACGTGAGCAGAGAGAGGAGAGACGCAACAAGAGAGAGAGGCAAGAGAGACGTGATCAGAGAGAGAGAGAGACCGACAGAGAACTGACCGAGAGAGAGAAGACTGAGAAGAGAGAGAGAGAGACGTGAGCAGAGAGAGACGTGAGCAGAGAGAGACGTGGATCAGAGAAGGAGTCTCGGTCAGAGAGAGACGGGAGCAGAGAGAACTGAGCAGAGAGAGAGAGCAGAGAAGAGACGAGAGCAAGAGAGAAGACGGCGAGCAGAGAAGACGGTGAGCAGAGAGCGAGAGACTGTGCAGAGAGAGAGAGACGTGAGGCAGAGAGAGAGAATGACGTTGAGCAAGAGAAGAGACGTGGAGCAGAGAGAGAGAGAGACGTGAGCAGAGAGAGAGAGACGTGAGCAAGAGAGAGAGGTGAGCAGAGAGAGACGTGAGCAGAGATAGAGAGACGCGAGCAGAAGAGAGATCGAGCAGAGAGAGAGAGACGCTAGCAGAAGAGAGACTTGGACATAAAAAGAAAAGAAAGAGAAGAGAGAGAGAGAGAGACGGGAGCAGAGAGTGACGTGAGCAGAGAGAGAGGAGACGTGAGCAAGAAGAGATAGACCGAGCAAGAGGAGAGGCGAGAGCAGAGAGAGAAGAGAGAGAGTTGAGCAGAGAGAGGACGTGAGCAGAGAGAAGAGACTGAGCATCGAGAGAGAGAGGGTGAGCAGAGAGAGATAGAGAGAGAGGGACAGAGAGAGAGACGCGGCAGAGAGAGAGAGGGTGACAGAAGAGAGAGAGACGCGAGCATGGAGAGAGACGCGCGCAAGAGGAGAGACGCGAGCTAGAGAGAGAGATGCGGCATAGAGAGAGATAGGCAGCAAGAGAGAGAGAGAATGCGAGCAGAGAGAGAGAGATGCGAGCAGAGAGATGAATGCGAGCATAGCGAGAGAGGCGTGAAGCAGAGAGAGAGCGAGAGAGACGTGAGCAGAGAGAAGGTGAGCAGATTGAAGGAGATGCGAGAGAGAGAGAGAGAATACGAGCAGAGAGAGAGAGACGTGAGCAAGAGAGAGAGAACCCGAGCAAGAAAGAGACTGTGAAGCATAGAGAGAGCGGACGCGAGCAGAGAGAGAGGAGCGAGCTGAGAGAGGAGACGCGAGCGCGAGAGAGAGACGCCGAGCAGAGAGAGAGAGGACGCTCGAGCAGAGAGAGAGAGACGCAGCAGCGAGCGAGAAGACGCTAGCAGAAGAGGAGAGAGACGTGAGTCCGCGTGTCTATTTCCGCGCTCGGAGCCAGACGGCAGTGCGGTCACGTGAGCTGTCAGCAGCGGGGGTACAGCGCTGCTCCCGGGGCCAGAGCGGAGGATGTAACTAACGTTCGGTTTATCAAAACATATCACAATTTTTAACGTATAACACTAGTGAATTTCACCAGATTTTTCCGACATTTAAAGACAAGATGTATATAATAATTGTTAATGAAAAAACCATTTTGCCACAAGCCCACCAAAGATGGTCCCTCAGACAAGAATCCGAACCTGGTTCTCCCAGTCCCTGTATTTAATGCTAACCATGCGTCCAACATAGCACCGCTGGGCTAGACAGTTTGCACGCAGTCTATACCGAGCGTCCTAAGTCGCTGGCAGTGCTATAGCGGAAACTTAGCCTGCCACCTTGTGGGCGATAAGATGTAGCTAATTTTCACGCAGGCTGCGTGATTCCCGAAAAAGAAAAAGTGAATGAAAGACGACAACAACGAATGGACCTACTGTAGATGTGTAAATGACTGTCGTCTGCGATATATATTTTTATTTTGATATGACTTTTGAAGATCGTTGATGAATAGTGAGAATAGAAGGGGACCTAAAGTGAGCCGTTATCAATTATGCCTTTGTTGGACCTAGGAATGGAAAAACAACAATTGAGAGCAACAACATATTGAAAATGGCGTTGGGTATCAAGACCTAATTGCTTTAAGCTTGTCAAAGTAGAAAGGGGAGTATCCTACTAGTCAAAGGCTTTGGAAAGAGCATGGAATAGGAGCCCAGAACATATTTTGGTCAAATCAAGAAAATACATCATTGATAGCATTTAAACAGAGCATTGGTGGTTGAGTACCTTGATCGAAAACCCAGATGGATAGGGAGACAAAATGATAAATGCAATTAGGGTAGGGATATAACTTTTGGAAAATCAAATTTTCAAGATAACCTTTGCAACTCACAAATACTAAAATTTGGCCGAAAATTGTTTAAGTCAGTGGAAGTGCTTTTCAATACACTTAACCAATTTCATGGGAGTGGACTTTCTGGAATGTGGTATCTGGTTTAATTTGATATTTTTTTTTTGTTCCCTTAGATGTGAGTTTTTTGCGTTCCTTGTCCTGTCTTGTTGATTGTTTGCCCCTCCCTGATGTGCTACACCATGTGTCCACTCGGTGTGTGTAATTTAGACCCTGTGCTCATGTTCCCTCTTGGTTGTCGGCCCATTGTGTTTTCCCCCCTTCTCTTGTTCCCGGTTTCTGTTTTTTACTTTTTTTGGCATTTATTAAATTATATTACTTTTTGCAGTTCTGCTTTTGCGTCAGCTCTGACAACCAAGGATTAATCCAGACCAAAGAGGACAACAAGCGGGGCATGAAATTTGGCGAATAGACATGTTTGCCTCCTCCACCAACGACTCAAGTGGTGCTCCTTCAATCACTTCATGGAAATGGTGCACCAATGGTGTGTCACACAGGTCCATCTCTAAAAAATAAATAAAACGCTAACAGTAATTTAAAATGTATATTACAACCCAATGAGGTTTCAAACAATTGCCGGTACATAGTTTGGTTAGCCATTTTCTATGTTTCGGTCTTACGGATGTAACCTACCGCCGGGGATACCATTGCTGGTCGCGCTCTAATCATTACATAACCTACCAATAGAGAGTCTGTAAATTAAGGCCCAAATGGTCGCATGAATTTGGAACTAATCACAAATTTGGATTGGGCTAAGGCTCATAGTAGTATTCAAGAAATTGGTCTCTGGGCTGTGTGGAGATGAATCGGACAGAGGATCTTGGAGTGACGTCGTTGTTCATAGTTTATCCGCTCCGGTGTCTTCTATTAAATGAACCAAGACATCAATCCACGCGGCAGACATCCTCATCAGTTCCTGAAGTTTCGCAAGTGGGTTTTAAAACTAGCTATCCGTGAGAAGAGAGGAGGACACAACTGTGGCACTTGTGAAGGATCTCATCCAATTCTTGCAGGGTACTGCTACTTGGACTTGTGGTTCTGCCAATGCTCCACCAGAGTCGATTGGCTGAACACACCGGTCTGGGATCGAGGGCAAAGCTACTCCTTCAGGAATAAAAAAAGAAGTCATCGAGCTATTACGTAAAGATCCTCATTAATCTAGCATTCAAAATACACAGACTATAACCCCCCCTTCGCCCCTAAAAAATAATGAATAATTTTAAAAAGGCTGAAGATGTTGTAATAAATGTACACAAAAATTACCTTATAAATATCCATCCCTTTTCTTCCCCTTAATACATTCTGGGATGGGGGGTGGCAATCAGAGCTGGCACCAGTTCACAAGCACCTCATTTAGTAGTGTCTATAAGAATTAAAATCGACATTTAATAAAGGCAGAGCCACTGTAAAATTCTTAAATATTTGATAAAAACAAAACTAACGAAAATCTTTAATAAAAAGACTGTGTAAATACTTTTATAATTTGAAATCTTGCAGTGAATCATGAGGTGAGATGAGTGATGAGCTCAAACGCAGGAATGCCAGTAATAACGACTTTAATAATATAGTCCAAGGCAAAAAACACAAACGCCAAAATCCAAAGTACCATGACCTGACGGAACTTGACAAGACAATGAACCCGCAACCAAGGAGAGAAGCACAGGTACATATAGACCACAGACAGGACACAGAAGACACAGCATCAGGCTGGGCAGACAATCAACAGGGGAACAGACATGAGTTAAAACTAAATGACACCAGAGAACTAATGTCCAATGAAAACCAAATACAGAAATAAAAAATCCACACCATGACACAGTGGACCTCAGATCTCAGATAAACTACCAGGCCCACCATGGAGTAGTTTGGACTGCCCAAGGGGACAGGTTAAGAGATATTGAGGACCTAAGTGTCCCAGAGGGTTCATAAAAAAAAATATAAGCGAAATAAATAAATAAACAGGACTGAGATTATTAAAACATTCATAACAGCATATATTAAAATCAAAGGATCTTACAAAATTAATGTGCCCAAACACAAATACTTTTTTTGCAGAGGTCTTTTTGCGTTTTTCATGACATGGCTCAAACATGGATGGATGCTGTGGAAGTCAAAATCCTCTCCAAAATATTGCCCATAATTTAACATCATATTTTATGGAGAGGGTTTTCAATGAGAGCCGACAAAACGTCGTGGTCATGGAATGCAGCAGAACCAAAGACCATCGCACACAAACATTACAGGCCTTTTACAGACCTTTTTACAAACATTCTCATTGCATCGTCCAAAATGCCTGTAAACAAGGTAATATAATGGAGGTGTGGTGTGATCACAAGTAGCGAGAAGTAGCTATTGGCAGTGGTGAAGGCACCATTTGAAGGGTTTTCCTACCACGGTCTCATTCCATAAACTTGTTGTGTCTTCCTCTGCACTATGCACCCTGTAGCATCCTGGTAAACATTGTCCACTTTGCATCTTGAATGAAAATATTTAGTCCTTTTTGGACTAGCAGCATGATGGCCTTTAGGGTGTTGCATAATCTTCTGTATTTCACATCTCCATCAGCACCAGTTGGCTGTTCTGAAGACTATGTATGAGCGTATAAAGGCGCTTATAAAAAACGCTTATTAGTGATCATTCTATGATTCATATAGATGGTTCAGGCTCAGGAATTTTTTCAACTTTAACCCATGGGAAGGTGAGCGGGTCAAATGCATCAGCGGCGTGGAAGGTGAGCGGGTCAAATGCATCAGCGGCGTGGAAGGTAAGCGGGTCAAATGCATCAGCGGCGTGGAAGGTGAGCGTGTCAAATGCATCAGCGGCGTGGAAGGTGAGAGGGTCAAATGCATCAGCGGCGTGGAAGGTGAGCGGGTCAAATGCATCAGCGGCGTGGAAGGTGAGAGGGTCAAATGCATCAGCGGCGTGGAAGGTGAGCGGGTCAAATGCATCAGCGGCGTGGAAGGTGAGAGGGTCAAATGCATCAGCGGCGTGGAAGGTGAGCGTGTCAAATGCATCAGCGGCGTGGAAGGTGAGCGGGTCAAATGCATCAGCGGCGTGGAAGGTGAGCGGGTCAAATGCATCAGCGGCGTGGAAGGTGAGCGTGTCAAATGCATCAGCGGCGTGGAAGGTGAGCGGGTCAAATGCATCAGCGGCGTGGAAGGTGAGCGGGTCAAATGCATCAGCGGCGTGGAAGGTGAGCGTGTCAAATGCATCAGTGGTGTGGAAGGTGAGCGGGTCAAATGCATCAGCGGCGTGGAAGGTGAGCGGGTCAAATGCATCAGCGGCGTGGAAGGTGAGCGGGTCAAATGCATCAGTGGTGTGGAAGGTGAGCGGGTCAAATGCATCAGCGGCGTGGAAGGTGAGCGGGTCAAATGCATCAGTGGTGTGGAAGGTGAGCGTGTCAAATGCATCAGCTGTTGCTAACTTTAAAGTGTAGTTTAAACAAGCCCCGGCGATCCAAGATGGCGCCCTATTCAAATGAATGGTTGTGCTAAATGGCGCTTTGTGACGGGGGCTGAAAGATTAGTGGAAGTCGCCTGGAACTTGCAAAGATCTATGGTTTTCGTCAAACACGCGTGTGTGGGTCTCACACCGGGTCTCACGCACGTGCACAGAGGGGCTCGGCTCTGACCAATCAGAGCAGTTCATCAGAGCGGGAGTTAGAGCCAGAGCCAGAGGAGCAGAGTTTGTGGCACTAAAGTGTGGATTTAAACAAAACCGAAGGATTTAAGAAGAAAAAAAGTTCAGGATGACAAGGGACACTAACATCCCCACAAAATCTGACCTTTATGAAAGCTGTAGGTTCTCTGTCAGGTTCTCTGTCAGGTTCTCTGTCAGGTTCTCTGTCAGGTTCTCTGTCAGGTTCTCTGTCAGGTTCTCTGTCAGGTTCTCTGTCAGGTTCTCTGTCAGGATCTCTGTCAGGTTCTCTGTCAGGTTCTCTGTAGGTTCTCTGTAGGTTCTCTGTCAGGTTCTCTGTCAGGTTCAGTGTCAGGTTCTCTGTCAGGTTCTCTGTAGGTTCTCTGTCAGGTTCTCTGTCAGCTGAGGTCGAGCTGTTTTAATTTACATTGAGTTCTATGGGGACTAGTCTGCAGTACCGCGAGAATCCCCCGAGCACATGAGTTATTCAGCTACAAGCTGTAACACCCTATCCAGTTATTATAATAGATCCATGAGTTTAAAGTCTCCAGTGGCAGATGATTGCTATAACAGTAAAGAGAGCTCCCTCTGGTGGAGCAGGTAGGAACTACACTGAACTACACTCACCCTGTGTTATAACCTGGCAAAACCATGACCATGACAATTGGTCCGAACAGTGCGTATCACATTTGATATCTTTCCTCGGGCCGTTACCATGACAATCGGTCCGCAGCGCGTATCACAATTGATTTCTTTCCTGAGTTTCCTCGGTAAAAAAGAACTGATGAGCGACAACTGGGAGCATTCTCCAGTGAATTCTATTATTGGACGAGTTTGACGAGCCAGAGGAAGAAATTACAGAAAAATAACGAAGAAAAAATAACTAACAGACAAGATGAGATTGACAACTTTGTTACAGACCAGAAAGCTAAAAACACAATTAGGAAAACCAAGTCGGAGATCGATATTTGCATAAATTAAAAATAGTCATATAATAAAACATTTATTAACCTCGCTTGCTCGGTCTGTGCAGAAAAGTATCAGACCTTGGCCTTTTTGCACAGACGTCGCCACGGCTCTGTCTGTACATTAAGGCTCGATCTGTGTATTAAGGCTCGGTCTGTGCATTAAGGCTCGATCTGTGCATTAAGGCTCGGTCTGTACATTAAGGCTCGGTCTGTACATTAAGGCTCGGTCTGTGTATTAAGGCTCGGTCTGTACATTAAGGCTCGGTCTGTGCATTAAGGCTCGGTCTGTGCATTAAGGCTCGGTCTGTGCATTAAGGCTCGGTCTGTACATTAAGGCTCGGTCTGTACATTAAGGCTCGGTCTGTGCATTAAGGCTCGGTCTGTGTATTAAGGCTCGGTCTGTACATTAAGGCTCGGTCTGTGCATTAAGGCTCGGTCTGTGTATTAAGGCTCGGTCTGTGCATTAAGGCTCGGTCTGTACATTAAGGCTCGGTCTGTACATTAAGGCTCGGTCTGTACATTAAGGCTCGGTCTGTACATTAAGGCTCGGTCTGTACATTAAGGCTCGGTCTGTACATTAAGGCTCGGTCTGTGCATTAAGGCTCGGTCTGTACATTAAGGCTCGGTCTGTGCATTAAGGCTCGGTCTGTGCATTAGGGCTCGGTCTGTGCATTAAGGCTCGGTCTGTACATTAAGGCTCGGTCTGTGCATTAAGGCTCGGTCTGTACATTAAGGCTCGGTCTGTACATTAAGGCTCGGTCTGTACATTAAGGCTCGGTCTGTACATTAAGGCTCGGTCTGTACATTAAGGCTCGGTCTGTACATTAAGGCTCGGTCTGTACATTAAGGCTCGGTCTGTGCATTAAGGCTCGGTCTGTACATTAAGGCTCGGTCTGTGCATTAAGGCTCGGTCTGTACATTAAGGCTCGGTCTGTACATTAAGGCTCGGTCTGTGCATTAAGGCTCGGTCTGTGCATTAAGGCTCGGTCTGTTCATTAAGGCTCGGTCTGTGCATTAAGGCTCGGTCTGTACATTAAGGCTCGGTCTGTACATTAAGGCTCGGTCTGTGCATTAAGGCTCGGTCTGTGCATTAAGGCTCGGTCTGTTCATTAAGGCTCGGTCTGTGCATTAAGGCTCGGTCTGTACATTAAGGCTCGGTCTGTTCATTAAGGCTCGGTCTGTACATTAAGGCTCGGTCTGTGCATTAAGGCTCGGTCTGTACATTAAGGCTCGGTCTGTGCATTAAGGCTCGGTCTGTTCATTAAGGCTCGGTCTGTGCATTAAGGCTCGGTCTGTACATTAAGGCTCGGTCTGTGCATTAAGGCTCGGTCTGTGCATTAAGGCTCGGTCTGTGCATTAAGGCTCGGTCTGTACATTAAGGCTCGGTCTGTTCATTAAGGCTCGGTCTGTGCATTAAGGCTCGGTCTGTGCATTAAGGCTCGGTCTGTTCATTAAGGCTCGGTCTGTGCATTAAGGCTCGGTCTGTGCATTAAGGCTCGGTCTGTTCATTAAGGCTCGGTCTGTGCATTAAGGCTCGGTCTGTGTATTAAAGAAGCTATACCCGATTTTTTTTCTAAGTAGTTCATAAAAATGCTTTTTACTACATACAAGTTGTATCATAATACATCATTTTATTGAAAACTTGAGGTAATTGATTCAGCTGTGTAAGAATTACAAGCAGTGAAAAGTGCTGAGTAGAGTCTGAGCGGGCCGCTCTTTCTCCTCCGCTCACAGAACAAGCAGCGAACAGCCTGCGTCCTCTAGCCCCTACAGCGCTGCTTAACACCAGCGCTTCGACTTCAAAATTTGAATATAATTCTCAAATAAAAAATGATGAACAAAATAATTGAATAAAAAAATTTGAACAAATATTAGACAACCCTTGTAATTCGAAATGTATTTAATGACTGCAAATAAAATAGTTAGCTCCTAAGCTAGCTAGTTGTTTCATGGTAACTTCCGGGTTTTTCGCAATCGCTTTTTGTCACCTTGAAACAGTATTTTTGTCATGAAAACAGTAACAGCAAATTCTGAAATCATCCGTGCACGTGTGTTAAGGATGTATATGTGTACTGTATTGTCCGATTGACGTTTAATGGTGTTGATTGATTGATATGTAGTTGTTTATTGAGCGTGGCTAGCTCCGCTAGCTCCGTTGGCTTCTCTACACAGACAAGTGTATAGTGACAGGTGCTGATAGCTTGTACTTGCAGAGTAATGGCAGTATTTTACACACCTGAATTACAAACAGAGATTGCATTGGGGCTTCGGTCATTATTGGTTTGAGAGTTCTGTTATCAAGAAAAAATGATCGGAAGAATTGCTGCTGCTGCTTTGAGGAGCTCTATAACAAATTATAATTAAATATTAGAATATATTCTAAGGTTTTAAATGAATACATTTGGATGCGAAACTAGCGGTATTCTTTTACTTATATATTGTGTTAGCAGTGCGTTGCTTTAGTACCATTTCATCAGTGATTGTTGCACAGCTTACAAGAAGTTGCGCTAATGCTAATGTTAGCATACGTATCAGATCGCAAATAAAACTAGGTGGCTCTGTGTTATGAGAGCGTAGGGGAAATGAGAAGCCATTGAGCGAGTTGGGGGGCGGTGCTAAACATTCAAACATTGCAGAAACGGGTATAGCGCCTTTAAGGCTCGGTCTGTACATTAAGGCTCGGTCTGTTCATTAAGGCTCGGTCTGTACATTAAGGCTCGGTCTGTACATTAAGGCTCGGTCTGTGTATTAAGGCTCGGTCTGTTCATTAAGGCTCGGTCTGTACATTAAGGCTCGGTCTGTACATTAAGGCTCGGTCTGTGTATTAAGGCTCGGTCTGTACATTAAGGCTCGGTCTGTACATTAAGGCTCGGTCTGTGCTTTAAGGCTCGGTCTGTGCTTTAAGGCTCGGTCTGTACATTAAGGCTCGGTCTGTGCATTAAGGCTCGGTCTGTGCATTAAGGCTCTGTCTGTGCATTAAGGCTCGGTCTGTGCATTAAGGCTCGGTCTGTACATTAAGGCTCTGTCTGTGCATTAAGGCTCGGTCTGTACATTAAGGCTCGGTCTGTACATTAAGGCTCGGTCTGTACATTAAGGCTCGGTCTGTGCATTAAGGCTCGGTCTGTGCATTAAGGCTCGGTCTGTACATTAAGGCTCGGTCTGTACATTAAGGCTCGGTCTGTGTATTAAGGCTCGGTCTGTACATTAAGGCTCGGTCTGTGCATTAAGGCTCGGTCTGTGCATTAAGGCTCGGTCTGTGTATTAAGGCTCGGTCTGTACATTAAGGCTCGGTCTGTACATTAAGGCTCGGTCTGTACATTAAGGCTCGGTCTGTACGTTAAGGCTCGGTCTGTGCATTAAGGCTCGGTCTGTGCATTAAGGCTCGGTCTGTACATTAAGGCTCGGTCTGTGCATTAAGGCTCGGTCTGTGTATTAAGGCTCGGTCTGTGCATTAAGGCTCGGTCTGTACATTAAGGCTCGGTCTGTACATTAAGGCTCGGTCTGTGCATTAAGGCTCGGTCTGTGCATTAAGGCTCGGTCTGTGCATTAAGGCTCGGTCTGTACATTAAGGCTCGGTCTGTACATTAAGGCTCGGTCTGTCCATTAAGGCTCGGTCTGTGCATTAAGGCTCGGTCTGTACATTAAGGCTCGGTCTGTTCATTAAGGCTCGGTCTGTTCATTAAGGCTCGGTCTGTACATTAAGGCTCGGTCTGTGCATTAAGGCTCGGTCTGTACATTAAGGCTCGGTCTGTACATTAAGGCTCGGTCTGTGCTTTAAGGCTCGGTCTGTGCTTTAAGGCTCGGTCTGTACATTAAGGCTCGGTCTGTGCATTAAGGCTCGGTCTGTGCATTAAGGCTCTGTCTGTGCATTAAGGCTCGGTCTGTGCATTAAGGCTCGGTCTGTGCATTAAGGCTCGGTCTGTGCATTAAGGCTCGGTCTGTACATTAAGGCTCGGTCTGTGCATTAAGGCTCAGTCTGTACATTAAGGCTCGGTCTGTACATTAAGGCTCGGTCTGTGCATTAAGGCTCTGTCTGTGCATTAAGGCTCGGTCTGTGCATTAAGGCTCGGTCTGTGCATTAAGGCTCGGTCTGTGCATTAAGGCTCTGTCTGTACATTAAGGCTCGGTCTGTGCATTAAGGCTCGGTCTGTGCATTAAGGCTCGGTCTGTGCATTAAGGCTCGGTCTGTGCATTAAGGCTCGGTCTGTACATTAAGGCTCGGTCTGTGCATTAAGGCTCGGTCTGTACATTAAGGCTCGGTCTGTCATAAGGCTCGGTCTGACATTAAGGCTCGGTCTGTACATTAAGGCTCGGTCTGTGCATTAAGGCTCGGTCTGTGCATTAAGGCTCGGTCTGTGCATTAAGGCTCGGTCTGTGCATTAAGGCTCGGTCTGTGCATTAAGGCTCGGTCTGTGCATTAAGGCTCGGTCTGTGCATTAAGGCTCGGTCTGTCATTAAGGCTCGGTCTGTACATTAAGGCTCGGTCTGTACATTAAGGCTCGGTCTGTGCATTAAGGCTCGGTCTGTGCATTAAGGCTCGGTCTGTACATTAAGGCTCGGTCTGTACATTAAGGCTCGGTCTGTCATTAAGGCTCGGTCTGTGCATTAAGGCTCGGTCTGTGCATTAAGGCTCGGTCTGTACATTAAGGCTCGGTCTGTACATTAAGGCTCGGTCTGTACATTAAGGCTCGGTCTGTACATTAAGGCTCGGTCTGTACATTAAGGCTCGGTCTGTGCATTAAGGCTCGGTCTGTGCATTAAGGCTCGGTCTGTACATTAAGGCTCGGTCTGTGCATTAAGGCTCGGTCTGTGCATTAAGGCTCGGTCTGTGCATTAAGGCTCGGTCTGTGCATTAAGGCTCGGTCTGTGCATTAAGGCTCGGTCTGTGCATTAAGGCTCGGTCTGTGCATTAAGGCTCGGTCTGTACATTAAGGCTCGGTCTGTACATTAAGGCTCGGTCTGTACATTAAGGCTCGGTCTGTACATTAAGGCTCGGTCTGTGCATTAAGGCCGCGGTCTGATATTTCTTCATACAGACCTCGCCCTCGGTTAATAAGCCGTTAATATTGCGATAGACACGTGTTCGATATCAATAGAAAACGGGATCGATAGAACATTCGATAGTTTAACTTCACGCCGTTCGAAAAAAACAGGAACAAAACACAGGTACAAGTAAAGCCTAGTCAGAAGCGCACGGCATTCTGGGGGATGTAGGCAGAGACTTCTCGACCTATCACAGCCGACTACAAACCGCAAAACTTTCTGGGAAATGCCAAAACAACATGCGCACCATGCGTAGCGTCCATGGATCATGGATCTAAAGATCGTGTTTCAGTGTCAATGGTTAAACACATCTGTGCGAGGAACAGCATGTGCGGCGGGAGAGGCAGTGGGTACATTCGGCAAAAGCAAGAGATTAACTTTTTCCGGAGCCGTCACAAGACACTCGAAAACAGCCAAAACAGGAGATAAACCAGGATTAAACCTATGGGGGAGACTGCTTGTGAACATTTAGCTCCAGCCTCATTCCCCCGTGACTGTAAACCAGGCTGCTAACATGTGTTAGCCAACACGACAAATGGATTTGTTTACGTTTTAAAAACAATATATATTGTTATCGACCGATATGAATTACTTCTATTGTGATATAGTTTTCAGCCATATCGCCCAGCCCTACCCTGTGTGCAGGAGTAAAGTGTAGTTTTAAAGTCTCCAGTGGCAGATGATTGCTGTAACAGTAATGAGAGCTCCCTCTGGTGGAGCAGGTAGGAACTACACTGTGACCCTGTGTGCAGGAGTGCCTCTGTCCACGCAGTGGGGCCCTCAGGGATACTTCTACGCCATCCAGATCGCTCAGTACGCTCTGAGTCACTACAGCAAGAACCTGACGGAGAGAGCGCCCCGTGTGGAGGTCTACGATACTGCAGAGGAGCCCAGCAGGGACAGCAGCACCTGGAGCGTACCGTCCGGATGCTCTCTGAGCCGAGGCTACGAGCAGAGCCGCCACTCCAGCGTCCGCCACTTCAACTCCCCAGGTACCGGACCCAGAGGTACCGGACCCACAGGTACCGGACCCTCTCGGTCTCATCAGGCCCTCTCGTCTCCCCAGGGTCCTCTGAAGGTGTGTCTCTGCCGTTGGGGAACTCTAAAGACTTCATCCTGAGTCTGGACGTGAAGTTTGTGTCTAACGGCAGCGTGTCCGTCGTCATGGAGACCACAGAGAAGGGTCCGCCCTTCGTCCTTCACTACGTCACCTCCAGCCTCCTCATCAGCCTCCGGGACCGCGACATCACCTACGGCATCGGCCCCCGCTCCTCCTGGTCCCGCCTCACCAGGGACCTGCTCACGGATCTGAGGAAGGGGGTGGGGTTGTCCAGCACCAAGGCTGTCAGGCCCACCAAGGTGAGGGGGGGTCAGGGGTCACCAAGGTGAGGGGGGGGTCAGAGGTCACCAAGGTGAGGGGGGGGTCAGAGGTCACCAAGGTGAGGGGGGGTCAGAGGTCACCAAGGTGAGGGGGGGGTCAGGAGTCACCAACGGGAGGGGGTGTCAGGAGTCGCCAAGGGGAGGGGGGGGTCAAGGGTCACCAAGGGGATGCGGGTCAGAGGTCACCAATGGGGGGGGGGCTCAGGGGTCACCAAGGTGAGGGTTGGTCACCAAGGGGAGGGGGGGTTGGAGGTCACCGAGGTGAGGGGGGTCAGGGGTCACCAAGGTGAGGGGGGGGTCAGGGGTCACATGGTACTGATGGGGGGGTCAGAGGTCACCGTGGTACTGAGGGGGGGTCAGAGGTCAGGGGTCAGTTTCACAGATGTGTGTCTCTCAGATCCTGCCGAAGCGTGTGCTGCGCCTCGTCCTTCGTGGTCGTGGTTCTGTGGACAACGTGACCGTCTCGACCACAGCGCACATGGCTGCGTTCTTCGCGGCCAGTGATTGGCTGGTGAGGAACCAGGACGATCGTGGCGGCTGGCCCATCATGGTGACCCGGAAGCTGGGCGAGGGGTTCCGAGCGCTGGAGCCGGGATGGTACTCAGCCATGGCCCAGGGCCAGGCCATGTCCACTCTGGTCAGGGCCTTCCTGCTGACCCGGGAGCACCGGTACCTGAGTTCGGCCCTCAGGGCCCTGGGCCCCTTCAGGATTCCCTCCGCTCAACACGGGGTCAAGGCCGTGTTCATGAACAAGTACGACTGGTACGAGGAGTACCCCACCTCCCCCAGCTCCTTCGTGCTCAACGGCTTCATCTACTCCCTGCTGGGGCTGTACGACCTGTCGGAGACCGCGGGGGAGCGAGGTGGAGGAGGAGGAGGAGGAGCAGGAGGTGGTGGTGGAGGAGAAGCAGGAGGAGCCTCTGAAGCCGCAGAGCTGTTCAGACGTGGCATGGCGTCTCTGAAGGCCATGCTGCCGCTGTTTGACACGGGTTCTGGAAGCATCTATGACCTTCGACACCTGGTGTTAGGCTCCGCCCCCAACCTGGCGCGCTGGGACTATCACACCACACACATCAACCAGCTGCAGCTGCTCGCCTCCATCGACGACGCCGCCATCTTTAAAGACGTGCTGCGGCGATGGAAAGGATACTTAAAGGGGGTCCGGGCCAAGCACAACTAACTCTGTGTGTGTCAGACTTTGTGTGTGTGTAAGACTGTGTGTGTGAGTGTGTGTCAGACTGTGTGAGTGTGTGTTTGTATGTTTCTTTAGTAAAGTGTGACACATGGATCAGGACAGGTGTACATAAGAGTCAATTATTATCAGTCAAGTAGCACCAGAGAGAGAGACCAGAGAGAGAGAGACCAGAGAGAGAGAGACCAGAGAGAGAGAGAGACCAGAGAGAGAGAGACCAGAGAGAGAGAGACCAGAGAGAGAGAGAGACCAGAGAGAGAGAGAGACCAGAGAGAGAGAGACCAGAGAGAGAGAGACCAGAGAGAGAGAGACCAGAGAGAGAGAGACCAGAGAGAGAGACCAGAGAGAGAGAGACCAGAGAGAGAGAGACCAGAGAGAGAGAGACCAGAGAGAGAGAGACCAGAGAGAGAGAGACCAGAGAGAGAGAGACCAGAGAGAGAGAGACCAGAGAGTGAGGTTCAATTTAGCATATTTTTCTCTAACAAACTGTCAACCCAAATACGAAAAGAGCCTCCTGGTCCCTCTATAGTCCCCATGGTCAGAGTTTATGCAATAATAGTTTGTGTGAACACATTTCTAGAGTCTTTATCTTTAACAGATTTTTCAAACGTCAATAAAAGAATTTTCGATAAAAGTGTCTTTTGTGTGTTTGGAGCTGATGAGACAGAGCCACATGGTACCAGCACCAGGACTAGGAACCAGGTACTGTTGCTGGTACTGATGTTTTTAACCCTAACACAGGAAGCTAAAGAGGAAGAATCTCTTCTTACAAAACACATGATTATTAATAATGAGGCTTCAGTTAATTATGGTTTCATAACTAATGGTGTGGCAATAATAACAGTGACACACATTCTCTTCCTGGTACCGCACCAGCTGAGCCATGTTCATAAGATAAGACTTTATTGATCTCACACTGGAGACATTTACATAATACATGGTGGTCGGGTGTGGGGCTTCAGAACATGTGTCACATGGTCACACACATGGTACCCACATCTGTATTGCATTAATACAGCAATGAAAAAGGTGTGTTTCAATGTCTTTGTGTAATTATGTGTTTGTGATTTAGATAATTAGTTTATATTTAGTAGGAGTCTTGTTTAAAGCCGAGTACAGAGAAAAATGGTAGGAACTAGTAAGTAAACTTTATTAATATAGTGCCCTTCACAGACCAGGGTCACAAAGCGCTTCACATGGTGTAAAAACAGACATAGTATAAAATACACATTTTTAAAAGCCAAGACAACAATGCAAGAAACAGCACGACAAACTTACGCAAAAGCCTGAACAAATAAATGTGTTTTCAGTTGACTTTTGAAGCACTCTACAGACTCTATAGAACGCAGAGAGAGCGGGAGAACGTTCCAGAGCTCAGGAGCAACAGGAAGGACCTGTCTCCTCTGGTCCTGAAGCGAGTGCGTGGAACCATCAGGAGGTTCTCATCCACAGACCTCAGAGCCCTGGCTGGGGTGTAAGGCTGGAGGTTACTGATGTAAGACAGGGCCTGACCGTGCAAAGCTCTGAAGGTTAAAACCAGAAGTTTAAAATGTATCCTGTAGGACACTGGCAGCCAATGAAGAGCTTTCAGGACAGGGGGGATGTGCTCCTCCTGCTGGTGCGGGTCAGGATTCTCGCTGCAGAGTTCTGCACTAACTGCAGGCGAGACAGTTCTTTCTTATTTAAACATGAAAACAGAGCGTTACAATAGTCTAAACGCGAAGACACAAAAGCATGAATAATCACCTCCAAATCATTCTGGGAAACCATTTTCCTGACTTTGGAGATTCTTGTCAGCTGAAAAAAGCAGTTCCTGGTCAGCTGTTTACAGTGCTGCACTAACGACATGTCCTTATCAAAAATAACACCTACGTTTCTGAGCTTTAACTGACTGGCCTAAGTCACCTATTGTCAACTATTGTCATTCTCCGATGTAGTAGGGGGACCTCATCTGGAAGTGGTTTTTAAAACTTGTTTTATTTTCACAGGTTTGTATTTGGCCAGAGATGCCACACATGAAAGCTTTACGCTTGATGGTACCAGTGGTAATAGATTGTAACTAGATGAGTTTGTATTTTTCCTCCTTTGAGAGACACACACAGACACACACAGACTCACAAACAGACACACAAACAGACACACATACACACACAGATGCCTCTGGTTAAAGGAGGTGTCTGTGTTGGAACACTTTGTACAAAACACATTAAACAATTAGAGATAATGACAGTTATTAAGTTCATCCACCTCTGATGGTAACCATGGTCAGCTCACCTGGTCCCTATGGAGGACACTGGACTATGGAGGACACAGGACTATGGAGGACACAGGACTATGGAGGACACAGGACTATGGAGGACACAGGACTATGGAGGACACATGACTATGGAGGACACAGGACTATGGAGGACACAGGACTATGGAGGACACAGGACTATGGAGGACACAGGACTATGGAGGACACATGACTATGGAGGACACAGGACTATGGAGGACACAGGACTATGGAGGACACAGGACTATGGAGGACACATGACTATGGAGGACACAGGACTATGGAGGACACATGACTATGGAGGACACAGGACTATGGAGGACACAGGACTATGGGGACACAGGACTATGGAGGACACAGGACTATGGAGGACACAGGACTATGGAGGACACAGGACTATGGAGGACACAGGACTATGGAGGACACAGGACTATGGAGGACACATGACTATGGAGGACACAGGACTATGGAGGACACATGACTATGGAGGACACAGGACTATGGAGGACACAGGACTATGAAGGACACAGGACTATGGGGGACACTGGACTATGGAGGACACAGGACTATGGAGGACACAGGACTATGGAGGACACAGGACTATGGAGGACACAGGACTATGGAGGACACATGACTATGGAGGACACTAGACTATGGAGGACACAGGACTATGGAGGACACAGGACTATGGAGGACACAGGACTATGGAGGACACAGGACTATGGAGGACACAGGACTATGGAGGACACAGGACTATGGAGGACACAGGACTATGGAGGACACAGGACTATGGAGGACACAGGACTATGGAGGACACAGGACTATGGAGGACACAGGACTATGGACTGATGGCACATGGTCCTACACCAGTTGCAGTCAAACAGTCCTGGTGTGTCTCAGTCTTTGTTCTTCTGGTATCTGCTCTGACACCATTCCATTTCCAGACGATCATTATTCTACAAATGTTCTGTCATTAATCTTGGCGCCTTTGACACGCCAAGAACACGCCAAGAACACGCCTTCGTGACCCACATCTTTCCTTCTATAAAACTGTAAAAGCTGTGACCGTGACTCTATTCGTCAGGAGCAACAACCGTGAGTAAAGCTTAGACTGATGTGTGTGTGTCTGTGTGTGTGTTTGTGTGTGTGTCTGTGTGTGTGTGTGTGTGTGTGTGTGTGTGTGTGTCTGTGTGTGTGTGTGTGTGTGTGTGTGTGTGTGTGTGTGTGTGTGTGTGTGTGTGTGTGTGTGTCTATGTGTGTGTGTGTGTGTGTGTCTGTGTGTGTAGTTTCCACAGAGACAGATTCTTCGTTGGAGGTTGAAGTTTTCAGAATTATGCGTGTTCTGGTCACAGCAGGTTCTAACAACTTCACTTATATACACTATATACACAAGTGTGTATATATTATTGCATTAAAAAATGACGTGTTCAAAATCCCTTATAAAGATGACCATGATTCAGAAAGTTAAATTCAAAAAGGTTTATTTCCCTAATACAAAAAGAATCTAAAACAGCTGTTCGGACCAAAAGTAACTATCCCTTATTCTCTATATAAAGTATAAAAGTATAACTCTTGAGTGGGCGCTCCACACCAAAGTCACACACTGTCCCTGGTCCGGTAAAAAACTAACTAAACACATTCAAGCTATTCATTAAGTAAATGTGCAGGAAGAAGGGGGCGTGTCGTATCAGGCAGGTCTCGGGTCCAGGGTCCGAACCCTTCCATCATGTCCCCTCTGTCTCGCCGGACCTGAACAGAAATCATTCACGCACTACCCCTCCCTAATTCTATAGAAATATTACTTCCTTGAGATAAGGCCGGAGGCTCTCTGGGTCCCCCTCCTTCTTCAAACAACTGGAAGGATTAGCAGAATCCCCCCAGATTACCTATCATTAACTCACCCATGCACTTTGGACAAAAATGGGACCAGGGGAGAAGAGCAATACAAGGTCTTTTTTTTTGCTTGGAAAAAGACACAGTTCAATTCCGGGTCAATCAAATTCACATCGGCTTTTAGTCTATATTTTAAAATATACTCTGAACAGATGTGACAATAAATTGACCATTTTGAACAATGGTCCTAATTCTCATCATAGCCAAACAAGACCTGTTCTCTCAAGTCTCAAGGACACAGGATAATCAGACATGAGTCATAAAGATAAAATGCTGTTTAAACAGGGCGAATTATTAACTTTAAATAATAAACATTTTGGCGAGGGCAAAAGTTCAGAACCTGATCTCCCAGGCAGACTGGGAGATTCACCAATGGCATTCTGACGCCTCCCAGTGGACAAGGGACGTCAGCACACCCGGAAGCCCCACGTTGGGCGCATATGGATGACTCATTGGAAGTCTCCCTTGTATGACCTCCCTGAAGGCTTTTGAGGTCAGTCAGCACAGGGCCAGCGAGGGACAGCATAGCGTAGTTTTAGGAGCTCTCTTTTGTTTGAATGTTCTGTATCTGATTGTCAAGATAAATTAAATACAGATGTTAAACTTGGATATCTTCGTCTGATTTCTGTACCAAATTTTGAACACGTCAGTCAAATCTTTTTTGGCCCACAAATGGTGACCCCGAGACGTGATTTGATACAGAAAGAAGACGCAAGATGAGCTCAGATATACAGTAGGTCCCATTCCGTTTTGTCGTCTTCATTCACGCTTCTCGGGAATCACGCAGCTGCGTGAAAAATAGTACATCTTATCGCCACAAGGTGGCAGGCTAAGTCCGCTTTAGCTCTGCCAGCGACTTAGACGCTCAGGTATAAGACTGCGTGCAAACCTGTCTAACCCAGAGGTGCTTTGTTGGCCGAATGGTAGCATTAAAGACTGGGACCTGGAGAACCCAGGTTCGATTCTTGTCTGAGGCACATCTTTTGGTTGCTTGTGGCAAAATTGTTTTTTCATTAAACAATTATTATATAACATCTTGTCTTTAATGTCTGAAAAAATCTAGGTGAAATTCACTAGTGTTATACGTTAAATATTGTGATATGTTTTGATAAACCGAACGTTACGTTACATCCTCCGCTCTGGGCCCGGCAGCAGCTGCTGTGACCGCTGCTCTGACAGCTCAGTGAACGCACTGCAGTCTGGGCTCCGAGCGCGGACCATAGACACGCGGACTCACGTCTCTCTCTCTCTGCTCGCGTCTCTCTCTCTCTGCTCGCGTCTCTCTCTCTCTGCTCACGTCTCTCTCTCTGCTCGCGTCTCTCTCTCTCTGCTCACGCCTCTCTCTCTCTGCTCACGTCTCTCTCTCTCTGCTCACCTCTCTCTCTCTGCTCGCGTCTCTCTCTCTCTGCTCACGTCTCTCTCTCTCTGCTCGCGTCTCTCTCTCTCTGCTCACGCCTCTCTCTCTCTGCTCACGTCTCTCTCTCTCTGCTCACCTCTCTCTCTCTGCTCGCGTCTCTCTCTCTCTGCTCACGCCTCTCTCTCTCTGCTCACGTCTCTCTCTCTCTGCTCACCTCTCTCTCTCTGCTCGCGTCTCTCTCTCTGCTCGCGTCTCTCTCTCTCTGCTCACGCCTCTCTCTCTCTGCTCGCGTCTCTCTCTCTCTGCTCACCTCTCTCTCTCTTGCTCACGCCTCTCTCTCTCTGCTCACGTCTCTCTCTGCTCGTGTCCCTCTCTCTCTGCTCACCTCTCTCTCTCTGCTCGCGTCTCTCTCTCTCTGCTCACGCCTCTCTCTCTCTGCTCACGTCTCTCTCTCTCTGCTCACCTCTCTCTCTCTGCTCGCGTCTCTCTCTCTCTGCTCACCTCTCTCTCTCTCTGCTCACGCCTCTCTCTCTCTGCTCACGTCTCTCTCTCTCTGCTCGTGTCCCTCTCTCTGCTCACGTCTCTCTCTCTGCTCGTGTCCCTCTCTCTCTGCTCACGTCTCTCTCTCTGCTCGTGTCCCTCTCTCTCTGCTCACGTCTCTCTCTCTCTGCTCGCGTCTCTCTCTCTCTGCTCACGTCTCTCTCTCTCTGCTCACGTCTCTCTCTCTCTGCTCACGTGTCCCTCTCTCTCTGCTCACGTCTCTCTCTCTGCTCGTGTCCCTCTCTCTCTGCTCACGTCTCTCTCTCTCTGCTCGCATCTCTCTCTCTCTGCTCGCATCTCTCTCTCTCTGCTCGCATCTCTCTCTCTCTGCTCGCATCTCTCTCTCTCTCTGCTCGCATCTCTCTCTCTCTCTGCTCGCATCTCTCTCTCTCTGCTCGCATCTCTCTCTCTCTGCTCGCGTCTCTCTCTCTCTGCTCGCGTCTCTCTCTCTCTGCTCGCGTCTCTCTCTCTCTGCTCACCTCTCTCTCTCTGCTCGCGTCTCTCTCTCTCTCTCTGCTCACGCCTCTCTCTCTCTGCTCACGTCTCTCTCTCTTCTGCTCACGTCTCTCTCTCTCTGCTCACGTCTCTCTCTGCTCACTCTCTCTCTGCTCGCGTCTCTCTCTCTCTGCTCACGTCTCTCTCTGCTCTCTCTCTCTCTGCTCGCGTCTCTCTCTCTCTGCTCACGTCTCTCTCTGCTCACGCCTCTCTCTCTCTGCTCACAGTCTCTCTCTGCTCACGTCTCTCTCTGCTCGCGTCTCTCTCTCTCTGCTCACGTCTCTCTCTGCTCACGTCTCTCTCTCTCTGCTCACGTCTCTCTCTCTGCTCACGTCTCTCTCTCTGCTCGTGTCCCTCTCTCTCTGCTCACGTCTCTCTCTCTGCTCACGTCTCTCTCTCTGCTCGTGTCTCTCTCTCTCTGCTCACGTCTCTCTCTCTCTGCTCGCATCTCTCTCTCTGCTCGCATCTCTCTCTCTCTGCTCGCATCTCTCTCTCTGCTCACCTCTCTCTCTGCTCACGCCTCTCTCTCTCTGCTCGCATCTCTCTCTCTCTGCTCGCATCTCTCTCTCTCTGCTCGCATCTCTCTCTCTCTGCTCGCATCTCTCTCTCTCTCTGCTCGCATCTCTCTCTCTCTCTGCTCGCATCTCTCTCTCTCTGCTCGCATCTCTCTCTCTCTGCTCGCGTCTCTCTCTCTCTGCTCGCGTCTCTCTCTCTCTGCTCGCGTCTCTCTCTCTGCTCACCTCTCTCTCTCTGCTCGCGTCTCTCTCTCTCTCTCTGCTCACGCCTCTCTCTCTCTGCTCACGTCTCTCTCTTTCTGCTCACGTCTCTCTCTCTGCTCACGTCTCTCTCTCTCTGCTCTCTCTCTCTGCTCGCGTCTCTCTCTCTCTGCTCACGTCTCTCTCTGCTCTCTCTCTCTGCTCGCGTCTCTCTCTCTCTGCTCACGTCTCTCTCTGCTCACGCCTCTCTCTCTCTGCTCACGTCTCTCTCTGCTCGCGTCTCTCTCTCTCTGCTCACGTCTCTCTCTGCTCACGTCTCTCTCTCTCTGCTCACGTCTCTCTCTGCTCACGTCTCTCTCTCTGCTCGTGTCCCTCTCTCTCTGCTCTCTCTCTCTCTGCTCACTCTCTCTCTGCTCGCGTCTCTCTCTCTCTGCTCGCGTCTCTCTCTCTGCTCGCGTCTCTCTCTCTCTGCTCGCATCTCTCTCTCTCTGCTCGCATCTCTCTCTCTCTGCTCACCTCT